GTGAAGACATAATAAGTGAAATAATTGTTTAATTTAATCTTCCCACTTCGAGAGTGTTAAGAGTGATCAACAATGGGAGCACGACTAAATATCCAGTACAAAAATATCCTGTCAAAAAAATCCTGCCGAAAATAACCTGTACATTAATATATTTAGACAATGATAGCCTGACCAATAAGATTTCCATTCCTCAGTCAAATTATTATAATGATTTTATAAAGGATATAAATGATAAGCATCAACAATAGACGCTACAAGTCTCGGCAGCGGATTTCAAATATTAATTCATTCATGAAGAGAGTGCTTTGGATTGTCAGTACATTGTTGCTGGTGAATTACATTTCTTGTCAGTGAATAAGTTTGGGTACGAGTTCATAGTCAATACTTTTTTATTGAAACGCCCTGTATCTTCTTCCCAAAAATACGTTGAACAGCATCACTACATTCTATACAATAAAAATAAAATGAAATCAATCATTTAGAGATTACTTCCCTCCAACAAATGTTTTTTCAGAGTAATTTTAAAATAATTGAGAGTGTGCACTTTTCATTGCAGTTGGCAATTTGTTCAATGCTCTTAAGCCTATGAAAAACATCGAGTATTGCATGAATCTTTTCTGGTATTGGGGAATGTGGAAATCTGTTCTAGATCTCGTTTCATAGTGGTGATATACAAAATTATAGTTTAATTTATCTCTCAAGTAGTCTGGTACACTGCCATTGCTTATTTTGTATACAAAAATGAGTGCCTGGTACAATGAAAAATCTTTTACTGACAACCATTCTAGTCTGTTCATCATTGTTGTAATAGGAGTATGTCTATTGCAAGGAAAGGATTATGTGCATTGATGCGTTCTGTAATTTTTCAAATCTATACAGCGTGTCTCATTTCAAACGGCCCACCCTCTATATCTCAGCTATCAGTCGTACGATCTTTACCAAATTTGTATCGGTATGAATAATCATCAATATGACCAGTTCTTCAGAGACAAACATCATTTTAGACAGTGCCGTGCATTTTTATTGAAATGAATAGGGGTCAGTTTTTTATTAAATCATATTAGGAATTTTTTCACAGGAAAACGGACCTCATAATATTGTTCTTCATGGTTTCAAACCCCCATATGTGGATTTTTATAAGATGCCTATGAAGGGTTTCAGAAAATCAGGCACATCTAAACAGCATTTTTGCGAACGTAATAGTTATTTACTCGGAAACGGTGAGTTCAACATAAAAAAGTATAACTCGTTTTTCCTTCCAAATCATCATTTTTCACCTACCGGAGCCATTGAACGTTCCAAAATTCGTAGTTGATTTGAAGTCACTATTTATTCGAGACTGAAAATGAAAAAAATGAAGCCAATCCTGTTAACTCGGAATTATGCTTTTTTTGCATATGGAGGTTCGAAAGCATGAGGAGCAATAATATGAGGCTAGATTTCCTGTAAAAAAATGCCCAATATGATTGCATGAAAAATCGACCCATTTTTATGTGCATCTCTGTAGAACTGATCATATTGATGATTATTCATACCACAACAAATTTGGTTGAAATCGCATGACTAATAACTGAGATATAGAGGGGGGCCGTTTATAGTGAGACACGCTGTATATATTTGATTTTGGTTTAGTAATACAACATATCACAGGTGGACATTTTTCTGTTTTATGAAATGGCGGCGCAGAATGACGGATAAGAACAATTTTAGAACATTTTTTTTAGTCGACATTTTTTCTAAAATCATCATGGCAACACTGTGACGTCATCGATCGCATTTTCGTCAAACAACCTCAAGAAATAAGAAATAAACAAAGCACTTTGATTAGATATTTATGAATCATGCGAAAATGTTTAATCATCCCTTCTGGTAATTCTTTCAAATGACGCTCTTTCTCTTGAATTTTTTTGAAGGTTTGCAAATAGGAAATGACACTTTATTTGGTTCCCAGCCATGACCGTTCGGCGATACTCTTGCAAAAAAACCTCAACTACAGAATCAGATAATATGCTCCATCAAAGTTTAACTGGGTTCACCATTTAACTTCAATGAATTCTTTTTCTTATGCATGAATGTGCAAGAGCATTTATTATTATCACTATCGGCAAGATGCTTTTTTTGAACATATAAGCTCACAAACACTGTTTCAACTGAACCACTAAAGTCGTTTCAGTAGACTTCTTTAATTCATTTCATGGCAAAACATTTCTTGTCATTTTTTTACAATATAATTCATAGCAAGTCATTTTTTCCTTATCAAATGACAACATTGTGAATTCATCCCATTTTTGGGAAGTGAAAGATGAAATACAGTGCCCCACAATTGAAGTGGGACACCTGAAATTTTCGCTGGAGTTTGTAAGATTTTAACTTCTGAGAAAATGATCCGATTTCAATTCAGTTTCCAGAATTCAGAAGCTCATTCTATTGTCTCGAGACTCATGGATTCGAAGAACTGAAAATATCATGACTCAAAATTGTACAGGGCGATTAATAGTACACTGTAAATTTGGATCGACTTTGGGGTCACCCCATTCCGTCCAAAAATTTTTCTTCTACTTTCTTCATGATGTTTCATGGAGTTCAATGCTATATCTCGATTTGGTTTTTGATTCCCATTGATTGATCACATTATCTGGACAATATGATTTTTTTAGTGGAATGTGTCAAAAATAGGGAATTTTTGTTTCAAAAATTGTTACAAGAGGATTTTCATGGTTGCTTACTCCATAAAAAAATTCATACAATGACCAATACAGAGTGATTTCCAGGGATTGATTCAGGTTAGATTTTTTTTGTATATGAACATGGCAATGTGTTTCAAGTTATAGACTTTTGATAGCATTCCTACTGTCCTGATGATTACACAAATGAATATTTCCGTTGCAATCTTGGTTGCAATAATGAAGAATGATGAGATAACTTGAAACAATTTCATTCTTTTTTCATCATCTCAGGCCCTCTTTCAGATAAATACGAGTTGTAGGGCATTTCTGGCCTCATGTTTTTATGAACTTTTTTCACTATTTTTGTTCCTAAAATCTGTGGTTGAAATCTTTCTATGTGAATTCGGGACACCCTGTATAGTCCTAACATATGGGGAAAAAGTTCATTAGAAGGATACATTTTTTCTGGAGAATCTATGGTGCATTTTCAATAACCTGGTTTGGTGGTAAATTGAAAAAAAAATACTATGAAGAGGTAAAAAATGGAGTTAGATTGCAAGGTATTGAAAAAAGTAATTTGAAAAAGTTGCTCAGAATTGAATATTTTACTCAGATACAAAGGTGCAAGCAATTAATCAAGAACATTGAAATAGCTATTTTTTTTCCAATACTTTTTGATTTCCTTACAATTATGGATTTTGTATTCCTAATAAGTTGACAATAGTGCTATACTTGTATTTTGATGATAATAAGAAGACAATCTCCATTTCTTCAAACCAGATAGTATGAATGTATGAATTTGAAAGAAATGGTTTTTGTCAGGACCGTCATGTTACATTGGCCACTATTGTGATTATAAACCACCTAAAAATATAGTATTTTTCTGAAAGTCATCAAGTTTCTCTGATCATCGTGAACTGAATAGAAATTGAAAGCCAGAAGCCTTCTAAATTTCATACACATATGGTTTTCAAGTTTAATTGCCAAGTGAGATGTATATTCAGGATTATTCTTATGATTATCAGAGAAACTTGATGACTTATCAGAAAAATATGAACTTTTAGAAATGCTAGATCATCACAATAGTGGTTATATTCTGATCTAACTGTTAGATGGGAATCAATGTATCAGAGAGGGTCCTGGCAGAAATATTTTTTTCCAATTTCATGCTATCTGATGTGAAGAAGAATTGTCTTCTCATTATCATAGCAATAAAAATGTATCACTATTGTCAACCTATTCAGGAGAAAATTCTATATTTGATATGATGGAAAAATATTGGGAAAAAATAGCTATTTTCAAATTTCTGGAATAATTATTGGAAACTGTGAATATGTAAAATTGAATTCTAAACAACTGTCATGAATAACTTTTCTGGATACTTTGCAATTTAAGCCCACTTCTTTCTGTTTATAGTAATTTTTTCAATTTACTACCTTACCACTTACCAGTGATCACATGACATGTGTCAAAATCAATTGTCAGGTTATTGAATAAACACAATAGATCCCCAAGAAAAAATTTGTCAGTACACTAATAATAAACTTTTTCCCCATTTGTTAGAGATTTTATGGATGACATTGTATATCATGATATTTATAACCTGATATACCTATTATTATGATATTGATAATTGAAATATTTTATTCTGGATTTTAATGATAATTATTCATAACATATATTGGATAATTTAATTTATTGAATTAAAAATGATTTCCAGCAAACCACTGATCCCATGACACATATTCAGAATAATCTGGAGATTTTGAGAATTTGTCAATTTGCAATAGAAAATAACATGTTGACCAACCTGACAGAAACAACTTGAACACTTCTGAGCAGCTTGTTTTGATGATATGACCAATAAAGCCAAACAAAAAACAAATGTGAAGCAATGAAAACAAAGTAAACATGAAGCTTTGACAGCTTCCAGGAACTCTGATAGGAAAAGACTAATAATATTCCTACTAACATCAACATCCTGTATCTCCAGAATTAAGCTCCAAAACATACAATTTTGAATTCTGAAACATCCTTTACATCTGATACATACATATCATGTGAAATGATATTTATATGAAATTCATAATATTCTTGATCCCTGCTCTAGAGCAAGATGTGTTTCATGCCACAAAAGCAATTTTCCATTATTTTTCATTTACATGACCTATCATCTTACTGGCTTCACGATTATGAATATAGTTTGTAATAATGGTTTGTAGTTACTAATCAATAACAAGATCAACAAGAAGATAGTAATGACAACTTTATTTCAATTTAATTTTACCTCAATAAGAATTACTCATAGTAAAATACTGTACAACACATGCTCACCTCAGCATAAGATCCTTCTTTTGGTGGAACAACAAAATGTATTCCCCCTTCAGACTGCTCCAATGAGAATTCTATTCCAACTCTTAGAGCAGTTCCTTCAGCAACTAAATGGGCAGCCTCTGGGGGAATAGTTACAACTAACTCTCCAGAACTGTTGTCAGGGTCTACTTTCAAAGCAGCTGCAAGGTGATGGCTGGAAAATGCATCAAGACTTCTCCTGTAACAAGGTAGAATTAGTGAAATGATCAACTGGACCTTCTGATTGATTACGTGTCTGTATCTGACTGGCAAACATCTAAAAAAGGATCAAAGTATTGGAAATGAGCTTCATAATGATCATTCAAGCTGACTCTATATATTCGGCACTGTTTGGCATTCAGTTTCACCATACGCAAGTTGTCTCTTAGTGGAACAACAGTCAGCTCTACAAAGCCCTGAAATCAAGATACTTTATTTTTGTTGACACCCAAGTACCTTCACTACATACTATTATGCTCTTCCTTTCGAAACTGATGCCAGTCAAACTGACTATCTGGTGAGCTGTAATGAAAAATATGGAGATGATAAAGAACAATCCTCAAAAATCTAGTGTATTGAACATTGGAACATTATACTTATAATTTGAATGGTCTGCAGTTATCCCCAGTTCTTTCTTTCTTCATTTTCTAGCTTGAGTTATTTCCATGTGATCATTCAATGAACTTTACATTATTTTTAGTATTTTACCCAAGCATTTTATAGTTTTTCATCCATCGAAAGTTCAAGACGAGTTTGTTTGAGGTTAGTTTTATTTTTCTGTTTGTTTTTGTTTATTTACTTTTTTTGTGCTTTTACTTGCACCAGAGATTAGTCAACCACTTCTGTGGTTGACTAATCTCTGCTTACACCTTCGACTTTTGACACCCTGACTTGTCAATTTGTCATCTTCCCAAGTTACGGGTAAGATCAAAAAGATGCCTTTATTTTCGGGTACATGTCGCTACAGGTTTCTGTCGTTATGCAGTCTCGACTTGAACGTGTGTCGACCACAGAACTATTTGATCGACTAAGAGATGTCACTGGCACGATTTCGCTACAAGGTTGGTAGAACTGATTATTATTTTGTTATCATCAGCTCTACCAACCTTGTTTTGCTGGGATTCGCGAAAATCACGAACCAATAGAAGGCTCTATTTAACGTCAAATCAACGTCAAATTTCAAACTGAGTATGAACAACAAAAACATTGCCGTATGCACTCATTGCAAATTGGTTATTTCGAAATCATTTTGCAAAATAGTGAATAAATGAGTTGACTTCGTGAAATACGTACAAGGTTTCCAGTATGGAAAAAATTACTTTTTGTGCAGAGAAATTGCTATTTGGATGTGGATAATGGTGGTATTCATCATTGATATCACACTACAATTCCACAGTTTTCAAACATATGGAATGGTCGGAATGGTCCACTCAACACTTGCATGGACTGGAAGAAGGATGGGTCTTTTGTTGATCTGAGACGCAACTTGTATAAGTAATAAGTAATAATGAATGGTGATGATTAAACGCCTTTATCCAGGGTTTTCAAACTTAAAGTTACTACTACTAATAATAATAATAATAATAATAATAATATTTATTTGTCTAAGTGATCATAACAACAAGTAATGTAATAACATAATTCAACACAAAAATAATGTACACTAACAACCAATAAACATTGAGGTACACATAAAACCCTAGGGTTGAGCATGGGCATACTTCATTGTGAACCTGTTTCCAGTTTTATTTTTATTTTCATTTCCAATCATGTTCAGAATATAACAAGATTTAATAATCAACCATAGTTCTATAATAACAGTAAGTTATAGTTTCAATATTACTCGAATAAAAGATACACATAAAACAAAACAGCAAGAATAGTATTAAATGATGTTATGTTGTTCTAAATATACAATAGAATTTTTTAAAACAATAGTAGACAATATACACAATGAACGAATAAATAGTAAATTGGGACTTTATTGATGTTCCATGATAGTTCGCACAACTTGTCTATCCATATTTTCACAGCATATTTTTAATATAATTTTTGAAAATTTTTTTCACCATTGGTAATGAGTTTATATTCATTAGGTACATTTCATAGACGTCACCCAGCATGTTAAAAAATTCGATCTGATAAAAAGATAAAATAATGCTGACCAATAGCTTTCCTAGAGTTGTTGACCTGAACAAATGATTTGGTTTTATTTCTAGTGAAGTGAGAATGGTTCAACTTCATGTCTCACTATGTCAATTAAACGGGCAAACTAGTAGTAGGTATTTTTACCGTTGATCACGATGATGAAATCGAATCCCGGGAAACTATAAGAACTTACTACGAAGACAGGTCAACGCTGTCAATTACAATCTTGCTATTACAAGTATTACAACCTGGTGAACCAACAACCGAGTTAAATTCAACGCCACTACCCCGACAGCACGACAGAATATTCTATGAATATTCTCACAAAGTTTACAACATACCTAGCTCCTTCAGAATATTGCTAAGAATATTCATAGAATATAATGAGGATGTTCTGAATGTTGATATAATGTTTTACGAGAATATGCATAGAACATTTTATCTAAATACCCTAGGAACGTTTCTAGAATATTTCATTATATACTCTATGAATATTATTCAGGAATGATCATAGAATGCATTGTTCGTAACACATTTTTCATTTACAGATAACAGCTGACTGGAGTTAGGTAGTTTTCTATTTTATTAATTTCATAAAATCTGCGTGGGGAAATATAATTTGCTGACCCAAATTATTAAAGTATGCTACGAAGCCCTGGAATACGAAGGCCTGGAAGGGACACATAAAATGAAAAAAATAAAAACTACAAAATTCTGAGTTATAACTCGGAATTTTGAAGAGTTTTTATTTTTTTTTATTTTATGTGTCCCTTTATTCCGAGTTATAACACGGAATTTTAAAATTCCGAGTTATAAGTCGGAATTTTGATGTAAAATTTCGAGTTATAAGTCGGAATTTTGAAGAGTTTTTATTTTTTTTATTTTATGTGTCCCTTCCAGGGCTTCGTAAATACGAAGGCCTGGAAGGGACACATAAAATGAAAAAAATAAAAACTCTTCAAAATTCTGAGTTATAACTCGGAATTTTAAAATTCCGAGTTATAACTCGGAATTTTACATAAAAATTCCGACTTATATCTCGGAATTTTAAAATTCCGAGTTATAAGTCGGAATTTTGAAGAGTTTTTATTTTTTTTATTTTATGTGTCCCTTTATTCCGAGTTATAACACGGAATTTTAAAATTCCGAGTTATAAGTCGGAATTTTGATGTAAAATTTCGAGTTATAAGTCGGAATTTTGAAGAGTTTTTATTTTTTTTATTTTATGTGTCCCTTCCAGGGCATCGTAGTATGCTGACCGAGTATTTCTGGTTCGAATTCCTTCTTCAAATTGCATATTTGAATATTCTATATGAATATATACAGTGTGTCCCACTTACCATGCTCACCATGGGTATCTTTTTAACGGTGAGAGATACGAGGTCGGTTAAATGACACCAAATGTGGAGTTTGTCAAGGCCAACTAAAATGTGGAAAAATATTTTGATAAAATCTATTCGTTTTTGTTTTATACGCAAAAAACAGATTTTGGTCATTTTCATGTATCCTTCGTTACTTCTTTATTTATGGAAATATTCAAATAGGAATTTCACATTCTCATGGCAGTTTTTCAAAGTGATTTTGGAAAACATATGAAATTTATACCAAGTCTTCTAGAATTTGAGATAATAGCACCAACTTTAGTTTTTCATATGTAGGTCATAGCTCACTATGACTTAGTTACAAATAACTTTTTTTCCTCTTTCAGATGATATGTTGCAGTAATAGTTTTGTGTAGATAACAACGGAGTTATCGTTATTTATACAAAAACAAAAAATCATTTGGAAGCCGCCATCTTGAATTTATAAATTTTAACAAGAAAATCATGATCTCCGACCTCAAAAACCCCCACTTACCAATTTTCAATGGAATCGGACCAAATCTTGTCCGCCATCTTGAAGCAGCCATTTTTTTTAATTTCAACAAAAATTCCATGATGTATTGTCACCGAAATTTTTTGTTTTTGTATAAATGTCGATAACTCCATTGTTATCAACACAAAACTATTACTGCAACATATCATCTGAAAGAGGAAAAAAAGTTATTTGTAACTAAGTCATAGTGAGCTATGACCTACATTTGAAAAACTAAAGTTGGTACTGATATCTCAAATTCTAGAAGAGTTGGTATAAATTTCATATTTTTTCGAAATCGCTTAAAAAAACTGCCATGAGAATGTGAAATTTTTATTTGAATATTTTCATAAATAAAGAAGTTACGGAGGTAACATGAAAATGATCAAAATCTGTTTTTTGCGTATAAAACAAAAACGAATAGATTTTATCAAAATATTATTTCACATTATAGTTGGCCTTGACAAACTTCACATTTGGTGTCATTTAACCGACCTCGTATCTCTCACCGTTAAAAAGATACCCATGGTGAGCATGGTAAGTGGGACACACTGTAGATGCCACCAGTAAAATAATTTCGATTCACCCCTTCGTCGGAGGGGTAGTTTATTCTTGCAGTCGTTTTTCAAAAATCCTTGCTGACCGAGCATTTCTGGTCGCATTTTCTCATCAAATTACATATTTGGATATCTTATATAGATTTATAGATGCCACCAGTGGAATTATTTCGATCCACCCCTTCAGAGGGGTAGTTTACTCTTGTTGTTTTTCGAAAATCCTTGCTGACCGAGCATTTCTGGTTCGTATTTTCCCATCAAATTACATATTTGGTTATCTTATATAGATTTATAGATGCCACCAGTGCAATTATTTCGATCCAGCCCTTTAGAGGGGTAGTTTATTCGTGCTGTTTTTCGAAAATCCTTGCTGACCGAGCATTTCTGATCCGTATTTTCCCATCCAAATCCAAGTACACTAATCGCGCACGTTGTTGCTTGACTTCGGTGATCGGATTATTATACGACGCTATACATAGTGGAGTATACTACGGCCTTGCCAAAAATGCTATCTCGGAAACTAAGCGAGATAGAGGTATAGTTACTTTGGAAAAAATGATCCCCATCGAATTTTGAGCAACTTTGGTTTTTGTGTGTAGTCTGTCTGTCTGTCTGTACTCTGTGGCAATCATAAATCGATATATCTCCGGAACCCTTTGACATATCGACTTCAAATTTTGCCATCTTACTGTACTTTCAATATTATGTCATTAAAATATGAAGGAAATCGGAAAACTCTAAGGTGGTTTTTCCGTTTTTTTTTAGATTTTTCACCGGAAGTTTCTTGTGACCACTCTACAAATCGCAAAAGTGGTCCGATCGATTTCATTTTTTGTGAAAAAGAAACTCTATCAGGGAGAGACGAAGCCTATTGAAATTGAGCAGGGTCGGGAAATTCCAAGTGGGTTTTTCAAGGAGATTTTCCGAAACACACGGTTCGCTTCAAAACGACTTATTTCCTGAACCAATAGACTAAATCCAAATTTCAAATATGCACCGTATGCCTCTTCCATAGATTAACGACTCCCCATCTATGCCTCTTCGATGACGCAAGAAATTATTATTTCACAATTTTTTCGTGCATCCATCGGAAAATGGAAAAACAAATGAAAATCAAAACATCAAAATTTGAAATCCTTTCAATTCAATATACAGTGTGTCCCTAGACCAGTGGGACAGTTGAATATCTCCTGAACCAATAGGAATTTTCAAAATATTTTAATTCCACATCATATCGCATCATGAGTGCTAACTTCAGGAATGACTGAATTTTATACGAGGGGCGCAAGAAAGGCTCACAAAATCGAACGTCAATTTTTTCAAATGGAACATCCCATATATTTCAACATATTTGAATTCTCATTCCTGTAGGCTGATTATCAGTTTTTTATTTTTGAAAATCCGACAAGGCGTAGCGAAGTTATACCAGTAGGTATTTCATGAAATGTAGACTTTTTTAATAGACAAACCCATTATTCATACTACTAAGAATTTATGGAATCATTCAAGACTGTTGGAAGTCGGTGGCATTCTTTCATATATGAAATACTCATCTTCTTCGAAAGTTATACAGGGTGGTCAGAAATATTATATGATTTTCACGAAATTCAAACTTTCTTCACATCAATTTTTCAAATAGTGCACCCTACAATATGAATGATTTTATATCCCATTGGTGGTTTGATTGCTTATGGTCAATAGTTGTGAAAAAGAGATGTGAATTCCATCATCAGCAAATGCAAATAAAAAAAATGCAGTAAACTATTTATTCAACTGTACTTAACTACTAAAAAAAAGTCCCAACATGAAAAAACTGACCTTGACGAATAATTATAAGGCACATCTCTCTTTCACAAATATTGACCATAACTGACCATTACTGTCTTATTAGTTTCTAGTTAACTAGGATTATTAGTTTCCGCATAAAAATTACCAAAAAGTTGACTTTGGTTTCTCCAAAAATTGTTCCATAGTCAAAAGTCATTGAATTTATTTCAGAATGGGAACAGGAAATTGAAAGAAGGGACAAAATAGGTATCAATATTTTTATTATTCATTTCAGACTCATCAATGTTGTTTGGAATTTGGTGCTGAAGAGGAAGCAACACGACCTGAAGATGAAGAAGCATGTTAGGAGGAAAAGGACATTTGAACAGATATTATTCAGAATATTTGTATGATTTAATTTGTGGCCATTATGGACAAAGATGATTTTATGACAAATAGTCATTGTTTAGCTGAACAAATATATTACCTATACCTAGGTGCCTAGTGTTTTCAAACTTGCGTACCAATATATCTGTACAATTCAATAAACATGAATGAACAATTTCAAAAATAATATAATTGTTTGGTCCTTTGTACATACAAGTTATTTTCCAATGAAAAAATTCTCTACATAATATGTTTTGCGAACAGAATGGAGAATTTCCCATCTAAAAGGAATATCTAGAAGCAATAAAGTTAGACTCAGTTTGGCTATTCCATCAATGTTCTATGGATATTCTGCTCCAAACACAAAATATCATTATGTTTTATTGGTAGGTACATACCTACCTCTTTGGGGTGGAAGGTAAAGTTGAGCTTTGGCAGTAGGTAGTCCCTTATTTCATTAATAGTGCGTCTGCGCAATACTATGGGTATCTATCCTAGCCCTTCATTATTATCGAGGTACATACAGTCTCAAGGACCTGAGAAGAATTTCATACACATATTGTTCAGGATTCTATGTGCTAATATACCAGCATCTTGACATAGAATCCTGAACAATATGTGTATGAAATTCTTCTCAGGTCCTTGAGACTGTATGTACCTCGATAATAATGAAGGGCTAGGATAGATACCCATAGTATTGCGCAGACGCACTATTAATGAAATAAGGGACTACCTACTGCCAAAGCTCAACTTTACCCTCCCCCCCAAAGAGGTACCTACCAATAAAACATAATGATATTTTGTGTTTGGAGCAGAATATCCATAGAACATTGATGGAATAGCCAAATTGAGTCTAACCTTATTGCTTCTAGATATTCCTTTTAGATGGGAAATTCTCCATTCTGTTCGCAAAACATCATCATCCTTATGATACATTTTTACTGAACCTTGCTCACATAATGATTCCGAAAGTGATTCCTCTACATCAATTTGTTTGCATCACTCATAGTTTTCCGTTTTTCAACTGAAAAACTATCCATGTAGGTACCTGAAATGTTCAAGTAGTCATGCCGATGTTTACATGGTTTACATCATTAAAAACAAATGTTTTCACTGCAAATAACGGAATTTAATGAATTATATAGTAAACTTATCAGAAATATAGAAGAAATAAGCAGCCCCTACCTTTCTGCTTGGCTTGCATGTCGAAGAAGTGTAAACAGTAATCTATTTTTCATTACAGCACTGATGAGTTTCCGTGGTTTCCGCAGTTCCTACTGAAATTCAAGTTGCATCACAAATCAAGCTAATACAGCATTGCCAAAACATCTTCCTGTTTCCATTCAAGTATATACAGGTACGCACAAAAAAGTTATGACTTTTCAAAAGATTTAAAAGACATGTAGGTGGCGCCACCCCCACGTAAGAGACGAACCAACATAAAATTTGATAGTGTCATTGAAAAATACCCCTAGATACCAAACTTCATTCGAATATCACAATTAATATCACAATTATTTCGAAATGTATTAACAAAAAACAAAAATAATAATTCAACTTTGACACTCTTATTTGGACGTCAGCAACATGCTCCTGAATTTTCTACACGTACTAAAGAAACAACCTGTATATTATATAGCAAATATGCAATTTGAAAAAAAAATCGAATCAGAAATGCTCGGTCAGCATATTCTAATTTTGGTCAGTAAATTATACCCCATATATTTATGACATGTGATGTGTTATTGGCGCGAGAGTTCAAATAAATGACTTCATGTTGTAAAATATTTAAATTATTCCAGAAATACTATAATTTTTCGATATTCTCAATGAAATGAAAGTAGGCATTCGAAATTTGAAATGGAATGATTTCAATCAATTTTTAATCAAATGATCTGTTGATATATCGAAACTGAACCTGCAACAAAATGTTGTATCAAAACCTACCTATATTCGATTCCGAAACAAAAAATCATAGATAGATTTAGAATGTTCTCAATATAATAACTTTTTTGGATATTCAAAACCGGATTTGCAATGAATATTCGAAATGGAATGATTTTGATTCAAAATAAATGATCATGGAATATCCATAAAACAATGATTTCCGAATATTCTCAATCGAATGATCATTGAATTTACGAAACAGAACCTGCGATGAATATCCGAAAAGGAATAATATATGAATATCTATAGATATTCTGGATATAACCAGGATATCTATTTAAAATCTGGATATATATCATCCAAATCGAACAATGACAAACATCCATGAATATCTGATGGTATCTGGGGTGCAGCTCGAGGCGCTCCAATTGACTTTGGATAAACTATACCTATGCCAAACTATAATAAACACGAAGGCTCTAACGACTCCTGCTCATTTTTCACCGCTCACTCGTCTTTCATCCATTTAGTCCATTACCTAATGGGATTAAAACATCTCGGAATCGTTCAAAAGCCCTGGCGTGTGCTTCTTCCACCACCACCACCATCACCACCTACTACTACTCCTATGGGGGCCCTGCAGAAACATGGAGCCGCACTCGAAAACGTCACGGCAGTCTCGCTCTCGAGCCCGTTTCAACCGTTCGCACGCGGCATAACCTCGAAATCCCGGTTTGTTTACGTTTTGCGTATTCGCGCGCACGCGAAAAATCAACGCGCCTACTCAAATGTCAGATGTCTTCGGTGACCAGGCAACAGGTGATTTCCGTGCCGGAAGTGGACAGTTCGTTGGCGCCAAGATGAACCCCAAAGGCAGGAAATCTCTGCAGATACTTACTGGCGTTCTTGTTTTTTATAGTACTTTGCTGTTGTACCAGACGATTGCGAGGGGTAGTGAAGGAGAGGTACGAAAATAAGTAGTTGAGTTCTTCGATGAATAATCCTGATGCTTCCCGATGCTTCCTTGATTTTCAAGGGAGTCACCGTCAGTCACCCTAATTAAATAATGATTTGATGTTGGCATTTCACTGGTAAACCCTGAAGTGATCCAATTGCTACTTTATTGTTGGTGTCCAGTGATGATTTTTCTTGGTATAGTGCTGTCACATCGACTGTCACGCATCACAGTCTCTTTGTAAAGAACATGTTTTCGTTGTTTGTCGCTATGAATTTCGAAGAGAATTCTCGGTTTGCGTGATTTCATGCCAAAAGGGACATTTCACCACTGTGAAATTTTTAAACCAATTCCCATTTTTTTATTTTCTGGTTCTCACGAGAAGGGTTATCCCTCGGGTTAGCCTGTAATGTTCAAAGAACATCGTAAGAACCAAGGGAAATAAGGTAGGAATTCGTGTTCTTCTTAAACTTCTGGAGGTTATATGCCTCGGGGAACACCTCCCTTCTCCCATGGCAATGTGTTCCAGAGCCTCGCTCTTCGTTGGATGAACGGGTCTTTGGAAAGAGATGTTCTGCAGGTCTCCAAAGTGACCACGAAGGGGTGCGAAGCCTCAACTCGACGTAACTGCCAAGGGAGGAACAATTGTTGATATTTCGCATCGTCCATGAAAATATCAATAAAATAGAGCCAGATCGCCAACTTTTCTACGGTGTTCCAGAGAAGTGAGTGAGTTTGTGAGCGAGGCACCACCCCCGAGACGACTTGCCCTTTTTTGGACAGAATCCAACAGTTTCAGTCCAATAGATCAATAAATGTGTTCAAATAAAAAACTATACCTATATACTGTCGGCGAAATTCAATATAAATGATAAAATTATATATTTGCATGGTTTGGTTGTCGTGATTTTTATAAAACGATCACGTACAATTTATATATTAGTATGCTATTCTTGAATAGTTATAGCGTATCAGTCTGGATTGAACTCGGGATTGAATGCAAAATATTTAAATTGCATATGGAACCATATGGGGGGGCCGAAGGAATGTGGCTCAAAGCAGGGTCCAATATCAAATCATAAATGTCAAAATTGTGAATTCTCGGGATCTTTGAAAATCGCTTTAGGTAAAAATCGGTTAGAAATCAACAATGAAATTTGAATCCTCAAGACGATATGATTGAATTATTAACTCTGTTATTGATATCGAAATTGAGCAAAATATCCTTGGCTTCATGTTAGTTTCAAGGAATTAGTCACCAATAAGGCGAATGGGTCGTCCCTGTATGGGATCCAAGAGCAGTATCTCCTGTTTTCTAAGTGTTTTTCGGCAAAAAAACAAATTGGAACTTGAAGCATGTAGATCTCGATCGAGATCTCGATGTAGGTTGACATAAAAATTGAATTAAATTTTCGGAAATTTCCATGACGGAATGAATGAATCCTGCTCTATTATGGACATAACATTTTGTACATAATTATTTCCAGTTTTTTTGGTATTCAAATTCCTCATGCCAAAAGGAAGTCGAAACAAGCAGCAAATTGATCCAATGATTGGGAAGTTTTGTTAGATATGATAATGAAATATATTGAAAATCTCAATGATCACTTGGTAGCAAAATTGATTCTATATAGATAATCGCTCGGATAATCGTAAATAGACGAGTTCTATATTCTGTGGGATTAGCCAGGAAAGTATAGGTGTTTTCGTTGTTTTCTGTTAGATATTTGAACAATAAGCTTCTTATTTCTCAAAGAGTTTTATTGGGGTTCAAAAACTCAGTTGAGATCAGTGTGCTGACTGTGTGATACCAGCCAGGAGTTCCAGCCACGACTTCGCCAAATAATATTCCGGGCGCGCGCCATACCACCAATGGTCGTTTATTACTAATTTTTATTCGTGGCTGGCCATGAAATTACTAAAACCCGAGCTAAAACCTCCAAAATATGTGCGAGGATGAAACAATTTTCCATCAATGTATTCCTCTAAAGGTCCTTAATGTTCTGTATATCTCTCAATATTTTGTCGAGCAAGAATTAACCCCACAGGCCCCCTTTTTTGGAATTCCCAAAAAAAATCATAACTTTCACAAAATACACGTGGATGGAAGTTTTCCATGGATGTGTTAATCTAATGGTAATTGATATAATGTGTTTATCTCACAACATTTTGTCTGGCAAAAATTAACCACACATATGCCCTCTTTTTGGGAATTTCGAAAAAATAATCATAATTTTTTCAAAACAAACGTGGATGGGAGTTTGCTTTGATAAATTTGTTCCTCTTATGGTACTTGATGATGTATATATCTCACAATAATTTGTCGGGAAAAAATTAACACCACAGGCCCAATTTTTCGGAATGACAAAAAAAATCATACCTTTTTCAAAATACACGTGGCTGGGAGTTTGTTTTCATGAACGTGTTCCTCTAATGGTACTTTATAATGTGTATATATGATCAAGTTGAGATAGGTATAGATTGGAACCTCGGTTGGTACTTTTGTAACAACAAAATGCATTTCTCTAACTTTTTGAGATTTCCTCTCCTCGTTACAACAATTGTCAAGAAGTGAATAGGTCCGAGTTCTTTCCTCTTTTTTCTTGATCCTTTCCCCTTCTCCAGAACTAAGTGAAAATTTATTGTCACTGACTATCTCGCTGGCTATATCGACTATACATATTATCCGATATTACCAGTAGTAATATTGCAATTACTTCAGAATATTCGGGTTATACATCGATAACTTGTTGCATAATTACAAAGAGTATCAGTTTGACAGTTGAAATAATCCGACCGCAAAGTGGGAGATTTATTCTGTTGATCTTGTACCTCGTCTTGTACGATTTGTAATAATGCAGGAAGTTTGACACGATGTTTGAGATGTATAACCATGAAAAGTTTGAAGTTCGAATTGCATTCAATGCGATTATTTTTTGAGTAGTCCTGAACGAACGTCAAAATTTTGCGACGCGCTTTGTATGTGAAAATATGAATTGGAATGAATTGGAATTAACCGGGAAAATTTCTAAAACTAGTAATATATCTATAGAATCTGATGAAGGTCGGGTAGAAGATCCGCAATTAGTATCCAATATTTTCAATGATTATTTTATCAACGCACCTTATGAAACTATTGAAAAAATCCCAGGATCCACAAATCCTATGAATAATATTTCTTATATTCCTTCTGTAAACAAAAATAGTATATTCATCACCTATGTTTCTGAAGACGATATACTCCAAGTAATCAGAAACAATATTAAAAATAAGCATTCATGTGGATTCGATGGTATCTCTGGATATGTGTTGAAAAAAATTGCATCTTGCATTAGTTCACCTCTATGTCATATAATAAATATATCATTACAACAAGGACATTTTCCATCTCGTTTGAAGCACTCAACTATCACCCCAATCTTTAAAAAAGGAAATATCCATAATTTGGAAAATTATCGCCCAATCGCGGTGCCTTCAACATTATCAAAAGTCTTTGAGTATATAATGTTGAAATTTTTACATCATTTCTTGAAAATAAATGATATACTTTCTCCAAATCAACATGGATTTCGATCCGAGCACTCAACTAAAACTGCAATAATATCATTTTATTCAACACTACTAAAGTCCGTTGAAGCAGGTGAAAACCCGACAGGTATTTTTTGTGATCTCAGTCGGGCTTTTGACTGTGTTAATCACGATATTCTTATGAGAAAATTATACAATATTGGCATTAGGGGTTTTCAGCACAAGTGGTTTTTATCATATCTCTCAAATCGAACACAAACCGTGAAAATACATCATTCAAGTGACAACCATGATAAATATTTCTTTTCGGATCAATTGTCAAATAATATTGGAGTTCCTCAAGGATCTGTTTTGGGGCCAATTCTGTTTATTTTATACATAAACGATTTGCCCTCTGTTTTACCTAACTCATTCACGTGCTTATATGCTGATGATTCCTCTCTTCTATTTGGATCTACTGATCGAGTTGAGCTGCAAGAGAACATTGATTCGGATTTGAATAATCTTCAAAACTGGTTTTGTGAAAACTCTTTGTATCTGAATACTCCTAAAACAAAAGCTGTTATCTTCCATACTGCTCAAAATTCTAATTATGTTAATCCAAGTATTAGAATATCGGATGTTGTGGTAGAAAAAGGTGACAGTGTGAAATTCCTAGGCCTTTTTCTGGATAGCGATCTCAATTTTCGTGCACATTGCACTCAACTTAACAGAAATCTCAACAAAATTTGCTATTTGTTACGAAACCTTAGAAGAATTATCGATAATTCAGGTTTACTTCTATATTATTTTGGAGAAATTCAATCCAGACTCAGCTATGGACTTATCATCTGGGGAAATTCTCCATCGGCACGATGTGTTTTTTCAACACAAAAACGAATTATCAGGATAATTGCGAAAGTATCACCTCTAGAGTCATGCCGAAATCTGTTCAAGAAGTTCATATTACCTTTAGCAGGTCTTTATATCATGGAAGTTCTAGTTTTTGTACACAATAATAGAGATAATTTCATAAAGAATAATCATATACACAATTACAATACCAGGAACCAAAACAAATTCCATTTGCCTACGACACGATTGTCTCTGTGTCTCAATTCTTTCGAATCTCTGGGACTCAGGGCATATAATGCTATTCCAGAAAATATAAAATGTTCAAGTAATGAGAAAGTGTTTAAATATAAATTGAAAAATCTCCTCTTTGGAATTAGCCCATATACAGTTGATGAGTTTTTTACATTTTTGCAGAACTGATGATTTTTGTATGTAATATTTTTATCTCATTTTAGTCATTTTACCTTATTGTAAATTATTTAAATGTTTATTTGTATATTTCATGTATTCTGACTTGTCCAATGGCTTTTGTAAGCTCGTTTTAATGGATCAATAAAACTACTACTACTACTACTACTACTACTACTATGGAAATAATTCTAAATTTCTGATTGGCGAACTTACTCTATGTGCCTATATCCACGTATA